TTGGTTGCTGGTAACCAGCATGACTTCCTTCATATACTGAGGAGTGTGTGTGTGTGTATGGGGGGCAGATTGCAGCTTAGCCTCGTGATTGAGGCAGCTGTGCCATGTGGGGGCCTGCTAGAGCATGTGTTGCTGACAGCCCTTTTCTTTGCAGGTGACACTTGAGAAGGTGCTTGGCATCACAGCCCAGAACAGCAGTGGGCTAACCTGTGACCCTGGCACGGGCCATGTCGCCTATCTGGCAGGGTAAGCACGTGGGTGGGCTTCAGCAGCTGGTCACTGTTTGGAATTTGGAGTTGAGGTCATTGGTGCATCTCTCTGGGCCTTGGCTTCCCCTCTGTGGGCTGTGGCGAGGACTCCCTCCTCTCCACAGGCCCATCTCTATCTAGAACAGGACCTGGGAAGTCAATGCATGGAAAGCCTTTGAATCACAACTGCAAATGTGAGGTGGTGCAACTATAGGAACGCAAGTGGATAAAACCCAAACTCATGTCCAGCTTGTCCAGACATACCCTTCTTAAAGCCTCTGCTTCTACCCAGTAATGCTCCATTGGGGTACTTTCGAGAACTGAAGGAAATGATGGGTTTAGTTCAGAGACACTGCTCTAGCCTGGCCCTGCTTAGGCAATGAAAGAGCCTTCTCCCCCTACTCCCAACAAGATAGGGCTGAGTAGACTCATAGTAACAAACGGTTATCTATTGAGACCTTGGGAAACAGTCCAAGAAGGCGGCCAGGATAGGCTCTTAAATCCAGCTGGGATGCATTCAGATCCTCACTCCACTTCTGCCCTTCTGGGTGGCTGTGCAAAGGCCTTCCCCTCTCTGGGCTTCATTCTTCCACATCAGCTCTAAAGAGCCCTTGGCCTGGCCAAGCAACTGTGGAGATTTAAGGTTATTATAGCGGTAAGGTCTGGGTAAGCCTAGGGCCCGCTGGAATAGTCCCCACAAAGGAAGTGCTTGTTTCTGTTTAAGTATATATTAGTAATGACAAGTGCCCAACATTTCTCAGTGTTCACATTTGGAGGAAGGAGGAACCAGAAAGAGAAACCCTAGAGAGCCTTATAAAAGCTGGAGAGGTGACTCAGGGGCAAAGTGTTTGCCTAGCATATTGAAGTCTCTGGGTTCTGTCCCCAGCACCACCAAAACCGTAGCGTGAGGTAGGAGGAGTTCAAAGCCAGCCTAGGCTACCTAATGAGACAAAGAAACAAACAAAACCAGAGAGAGCCATATTGACACATGGGTTTTTCTTTGGGGAGAGAATAATCCCTGGGCCCAGTGCTTCTCGAAACCCCCCAGTTTAGACATGTTTTCCTCTTTTCTCCAGCTGTGTGGTGGTGATCTTGAACCCCAAAGAGAATAAGCAGCAGCATATCTTTAACACTACCAGGTAGGCGGGGCCTGCAGTAGGGTTGGGGGGGACCAGGATGCTGTCCCAAATCTTTCCCCATAGAGCCTGTCAGTATTCATGGGTGGTGACTCATTTACTCAGCAATGTTCACATGACCTGCTGTGTGCTAGGTACTGTTCCAGGTATTGGCAACCTAGCCGTGAGCAGAGATGAGAATCTGCCCTCTGCAGCTGACCGT